GCGCCGTATCGTTGGCCCACCGACTGGTGACCAGTTGTCCCGTATCGGTGGCCGAGTCTATAGTCAATCGATGGTATGTCCGCTCGTGAAACACAAACGCGAATTTGTCGGAACCGGTGCTGTCTTTATGGACAAAAACGGCGCGAATCCTCTGTCCGTCGGTCGACAGCGACTGTTTGGCCGATTCCGGGGTCTTCTCACGTCCCCAACGGTTCTGGTCATCGCCGCCGCCGTTGTTGTCGCAGAGATAGCGACAGTCAACCATCGCTAACACATCCGCCTTCACGTAATAAATCCACAGATAATTGATGGCAAACATGGCGTCGAGGGGTTGTCCGTCTGACCAGCCGACGAGGGCTCGGGAGGAGCAGTGATCAGAGCTATACTCCATGAGAGAGTTGGCCAACCATTTGCCGGTCTCCGTATCCCACCATTGCATCCAATACTTGCCATCAATGAGTTGACTGATCCACACCTGTCTGGTCGGCACCACCGCTGAGTCAGCACTTCTAAGGCCTCCCTTACGACAGCCGTCATTACTGTCGACATAAACGGCAGCGTTTAGTCGTGTGAAAGGTGTGGGCAGTGGTCGGGCCTCGGAGTCGGGCGGAGGGAACTGATTGTCTTTCAACCACTTCTAAGGCCTCCCTTACGACAGCCGTCATTACTGTCGACATAAACGGCAGCGTTTAGTCGTGTGAAAGGTGTGGGCAGTGGTCGGGCCTCGGAGTCGGGCGGAGGGAACTGATTGTCTTTCAACCACCAGAACACCGGCGGTGAGCTGTCGGTTATGTACGCATGCGATACCCGCATTCGCTACCGTAGCTAGTGTCTCAGAAACGTGTCCATAAACGACAGTGAATACCGGTCATATAGTGCACAATTACGATACGTAGTTATCATACAATTAATCCAATGCTTATTATTATAAGACTTTTGTCTCATTTTGTGTTTGTTGTATACAATCGGCGATCAATTTCTTGTGATTATCTGTTATAACATTTAAACATCAATTGATTTCTAACGGATTGTAATTGAGATTTAATTTGATTATATCTTAAAGTCTCGCACAATCTATAATTAATTATAAAAATCTCTGACAAATTGTATTGTTTGTTAGAAACAAATCATTTTGTGTGAAAATTTGATTAATTATTATAACGTATTTTTGAATTTTAATTCAAATTTATACTACTTATCAACTATTTTTCAATTTAAGATGTTTTGAATTGATATCAATAACTTATTAGCGATTAGTTTATTATACAAAACACAAAATGAGTGCAATATTCATAGCATTTCTAGTGATTGTATGCGGAATTCAATCACACGTTTGTGACTTTGCTTTCGACTATCTTATAGTCAGGTATTCATTAAATTGTGATTTGCTTTGAAACGAATGTTGCCTTAAAAATGAAAACTAAACATTAATTGAATTGAATGCACAGTACGTGTCGGCGACCTTACAATTCACTGACATCAATGATATCGTTACCAAACCATACGGTCATCTCATTTCAATTCAGATATATGTATGGCGTTACACTCAATGCGACCACAAATCGGGTAGTGATGGACATCGACCCGAGCCGAGGGCCATACTCTCAAACGATAACCAATTACTTTGATCACGATTATACCAAAGTACGCTTTTTCGACGTCTCTATGGTTGACCATTCAGTTTATATGGTTTTTAAGCAATTGAATGCTCTATCGTTTAGTATTAATAATTATGAATTGAATGGCAATGCGTTTGTAAAAATTCACAACACTTCACAACTTGATAGTGACTTTCAGAAGTTTTACCCATTTTTGCCTAATATTACAAACCAAGAAAGATGGGATATGGTTAGTTTACATCATAGTTAATAAATTTATAACATTAACTCTCTTACTCTCTCTCTCTCTCTCTCTCTCTCTCTCTCTCTCTCTCTCTCTCTC